ACCTTCACATACCTGTACCAGTTGGTCAAAGTCATCATGATGTAGAGTGAGGCCAGAAAGAAAGTGATGTGAAAAAAACTGTAGTTGTAAGTCACTGCAGTGGTTTCATCATCATACACACGTTGGGTGCGGGGCTTGTCTTCATCATTTGTGCTGTTTCCACTCTCAGCATCTAACAGAAGAAAAATACAATAGTAAGCGGGAATTTGCAGATGGAAAAAAGCTAGAAGATGCTTGTCACAGAGGGAAAGACATATATGTAAACACCAATTAATGAGTATCCTACTCCTCAGTTTCATTACAGTGGAACCTCCCCCACTCCCCCTTACGGCCATCCTGTTAATATGGCCACCTCTTTATTACGGCCACTTTATTCAAAAGCTCAGTCAGTCATTCTTATCTAAACAACCCCATTAATATGGCCACCCCATTAATACAACCAGATTTTTGTGGCGTGTAGGTGACAGGATTAACGGGGTTCCACTGTATTAAATGTTCAATTCCCAAGGTCACACAGACAAAATAGCTCCTTCTATATCTCTTAATTTTCTATGTTAACTTTTTCCTGTGTTTGCAACAAATTTATCTATCACAGCTGCTGTTTGAGTTGTTGCATAAACAAAGAGAAGAATTGTGTGGCAATACAAACAATGGCTACACTTCTAGTAGTATTGCGTTCAATTAGTAATCTATATCTGTGGTTGTTTGCTCTAGCATGCCTCTGACAGTGTTTCTGAACAGTTCATTTAGCAAAGAGCAGAGGGATACACCTTCACTAACCTTGGGTATAGTCTGGTAGAAGTGTCTCCTGCCANTTGTTGTTGTTGTTGTTATTATTATTAGTATTAAAATTTATCAAACAGACAAACTGTGCAGTTGTACTTATTAGGCACTACATGAAAGTGACAAGAACACTTCCTTTTTTAGTGATTTATTCATAATAAGGGCCAGGTATGAAAGCATGTGAAAGGGTTACCTTTTTCTATAAAAGGTATACAAAAGGGGTACTTTTTCTGTCAAAATGGTATACAAAAGAGTAAGAGGTTAGAATACCCCCTCCCCCCCCACTGGGCATTGAGCACAGTGAACCTTTTGGACAACAGTCATCAAATTCACAAAAAAAACTGAAGCTTGTCTCAATCAATGTGCATACTAGACAGATACACGTTAGGTAAAAGGTAGCCGAATGTCATCAGGCCGGCTCTCATCTCTGGTTTCCATAGCATGAAGCGACCAGGAGTATTTTGACTTCCCCCTCGATGGGATGCTAGTTAATTGCAGGGTTACCCCTGGGATTTAATTCGCCATTGCAGGTTTAACCCCAGCATTTAATTCACCATGAGAGTGAAGTGTCTTGCCCAAGAACACAACACAATGTCCCTTGCCAGGGCTCGCACCCAGACCGCTTGATCTGGAGACAAGCATACTAATCATGAGGTCACCACGCCTCCCATAGCTTAACTGACAGGATATGTTTAACTAAATCTCAAATGAATTAATGGCACCAAACAAAATTCATTTCATGCAAAAAAGAGAAAAGAACATGTACTTGGGAAATTTAAAAAAGCTTAACTAACCAAACTCTTTTTGTTTCCTTTTTACTTTCAAAAATGGCAATTACCCACATTGGGAGGCAGTCACAAAGTGTCATACAAACAAATTGCATAATCATATAAAGCTCAATAAAGTTACATATTAAATCAACATCCGAAAGTGTATTAAATTTGACCACACAAACATCTTAAAATCTCAGTTATCCAGATAATTCCATTCAAAACATAATGAACACAGAATTTCTCTGTATAACATCTGTACAAGAATACTTTCAAAAGCAAAAAATAGAGATTCAAGGCAATTTAAAATATCCAGTACGCCCGGTTGTACTGTCAACTAAGCTTGAGTAAAATGTTATTATCTCAAACCAAAATGTGCGCTCAGCCAATTTAACAAAACAAAATGCCACTCCAGTGCAAAGCGATTTCGGAACGATGAGTAAATTTTCAGAATCACAAGTTAAGGCTTACATATGCCTTAACGGATTGCCAACAAATGAAAGTTGTACATTCTTCAGTTCGTTCTTTAAGTCAACGTTCGCTTAAAATTCAGTTCTACAGAACCATAGCAATGATATCGATTAATACTGTCACTAAACATACGATGCAAGAATCAAAAGAAATGAATCTTCATCGATCGTATATTTCCGCGAACTCTGTTGAACGCCATTAAAATACCAAACATGGCGGACCTACCACTGGCGCCAGAGAACTAGCACAAGAAGCACACGAAGAAAAGGCAGCACAGCTTCCCAGAGCACCCAACGCAGCTCCCATCCTGTGTTGCTTTAACAAACGTTCCCTTTAAACGAAGTACTCGAGTAAAAATCTTATCAATATAGCAACAGTGAACGAAAAACTTTGATGCTTTACGTTCGTGCATTCAGTATAGCAATGACGTCATGACGTCATGACGCGATGCATTCTGGGTTTCCAAGTACATGTGTTACGAAGTGTTATGTTATTATTTTTAGTTACGTGTAGTGTAAATTAATTAAACGAGGATAGTCCAAGTCGTACGGCAGTGGTAACAAAAAAAAATAATAAATTTAATTTCTTAGAGGATTCTCGAGAAAAATTGGAAAGTTCTAGACTCGACTCCAGACTCCAGTCAAAGCATTTGTTTATGAGCCCACAGTTCTCGCCGCTGAGCTTCACAGGCAGGTGTTCATCATGAAAGACATGGAGGACGACGTGGAAGAGGATGGAGGCGAAACTCAAACATTTCTTCATCAGCATCACGCAGGCTGCGTCTTATCTCGGCTCAATGATCTTCGGGAGCGAGAAGAGCTTTGTGATATCACAATTATCGTTGAAGGCAGAGCTATCAAGGCGCATCGGGCTGTGCTAGCTGCCTCCAGTCAATATTTCAACGCCATGTTTACCGCAAAGATGAGTGAACGAAATCAAGCAACTGTAAGTTTGATATATTTTGGATAGATAATTACTTTTCTTTGTCCAGGCATTTTTACATTTTAAGCACGAACATAATTTTAGAAGAGTGAAGAATCCTTTTGAAGTGGATAAGCTAGATCACACGGGCCGGAAGAAAAAAATTCGCTGTCTCTATGTCCGGCAGCCGCGGAGGGGCAGTAGCTCCTTTTGCAATCTTCGCAGTGAAAAGCTCAACGTAGACTGGCGTGAGACAAACAAATAAACCAATAATTCGGACTGTGTGTGAATGTTATTCTCATGAAGCACCGTAATACAAGGTTAATTATTGTAAGCTTGTTTCTACATCTGCAGTTCAGCTTACGTACGAGAGTACAATGTGTTACAAGTTACTGTACGTGTAATTGTCAACTAGCAGCTAGGACGTTGCAAATTCTACGTGATAAGAAAGGTTTCTCGAACCGACTTTTCAAACTCAGAGTTTCACTCTTCAACAAAGAAGCTGGAAATTTGTGTTTTTCTGGACCTAGGATAGCATGAGGAAAGCGAGTATTTCATATTTTATAAATCTTCTTAGGTGGTAGGTTTGTAATTGGTTAAGTTGGCAAGGACCCTTGATATCGCTTAGCAACTAAGAAAATTATGAAGAATTTTTTAATATCATTTTCCCTTTTATTGAGAGAAAATTATAAACCTGAAAATAATATTGCAGTTGGCACTGATGATTTAAATCTCTCTGATAAAATAAGGAACATTGAATTTTTGTTCCTGTGTTCAACCACCTGTATTGTAACTTACTTTCAAATTTTGCACATCTGTGAAACAGCTGATAGGAGCTGATTTCATGGTCAGTGCACTTGTTGCATAAGTAGTTGGTTGTGTGTATATATCTGGCCATGAAACTGTTTGACTCTCTTTGGATAACACAACCATTGTGTTCTTTTTGTAAAATACTCTGTTAAACAGTCTTTTCCATAGCTGTTGTAAAAACACACTTGCTAATCAGCATGCCAACTCAGAAAGTTACATTTATTTTAAGCATTGTCATTATCATATGTCTTGCTTTGTAATTACTGAATATTGAAATACTGTCAGTCATGCTTGTCAGATTTGTGAAACATTTGACTTCCATTGCATGACAAAAACAGGTAGGCAACGACGTTATTAGTGTCAAAAAATGGTCAGGTCAAAAATTTGCATATACATGTACATAAAGAGATTGGTGTAAATGAAAGTTTTAACTAAGCAATAGAGCACTTTTTCTGTGGTTACATAGCCTCATCTAAACACGAGGGTGTCAGTACCGTAGTACCTGTTTTTATTTCCTCTCAAAACAAATGTCAAATCACAGCTCACAATAGGCTCAAGCTCAAAAGGCACACATTGACCGCACGGCCTTGGTCGATGAACAAAGTCACAACAACTTGAATAAAACTCTTCGCTACCATTGAAGGCATACATGTGTGAATGTACGTGTGAGGTTTTCCGAAAATTACAAAAAGGTATTAAGTTCCAAATGTTTTTTTTTTTTGAATAGCAAAGGCAAAATCTTAACTTACCAAACTGTTTGTTTTGAGCTAAAGGAACTGCACAATGACAAGTTTCTAACAAACACCTGCGATTAACACTCACTTACTTGAACACATGGCGACTAAAGTCCAATGGTCATGTCACGTGACCGACAAAAATCTCCCAGGGGGAGTCGGGAGTGACAGAAGGGGATTCGGGGAATTTGGGACAGTTACTTGTAAGCGAACCCAAGACCCGAGATGCTGCAATGCTTTAGATTGTCTACTAAAACAATTAGAGTACTCGCCCTTGTTTTCTATGAATGATAGTCAACTCGGCCACTCCTCATTGACTATTTACTCAGAAAACTTGGGCCCGTAATCATATATCACAATGGCTAAACCAATGAAAACAATTGAATTGGATTATCCTAGCAGTTATACCATGCTCTACAAGTATGGTTGGCGTACTTGTAAGTTTTTGGTGGCATTTTTGATATTTAACAATTATTCCACCTCTGCTTGCTGGGTATGAGATGAGTAACTTTTCATTAATTGTTTATGTTTCCTTTTTCATCTTTTATTTTTAGGTGGAGATTAAAGGAATCGATTTTGTTTCTGCAGAAACTCTCATCAACTTTGCCTATACCTCACAACTCAGTATCACTGACTCCAGTGTACAAAATATCTTTCTGGCCGCTGATCTGCTTCAGTTCAAATGGGTAAAAGACTCATGCATTCAATTCATCATGCAGCAAATAGACATTACAAACTGCATTGGTGTCCGTGCACTTGCTGAAAGACACTCGTGCAAAGCCATGTACGAGGCTGCCACACGCTTTGTTACAGAGAACTTCCTTAAAGTCTCTCTAACTGAAGACTTCAAGATTCTCAGCGCCAGCGAAGTGCTGGAGTTAGTGAGTCGAAATGATGTGAATGTGACAGACGAAATCGAAATATTTGAGGCATGCATCGGGTGGATTGAATATGACACTGACAGCAGGAAGCAGCATCTCTCAGAGCTTTTAAAGGCAACAAGGTTGCCTTTTATTCCAGTGAGAAATCTGCAAAAGTATGTCGCTGAGCATCATTTGGTGAAACATGATATTTACAGCCAGGACATTGTAGAAGAAGCCACAACATTTCATTTTGAGCATGCTGGAATGCAAATGAGACAGTCTTATGCTGAAACTGTTTATATACTTGGAGGAGAAACCTCGTTTATGAAAGAGGTCAAAACTGTGGAAAGGTTTAATCCTGAAAACACACAGTGGGAAGGTGTGAAGTCTATGACAGAAGCTCGAGCATCGTTCACTGTAGCCACGCTTGAAGGCAAACTGTATGTTATAGGAGGGTATCGCCGAGGAAGAAAGCTCAATTCGATGGAGTGTTACGACCCAACTCAGAATGGCTGGGTAAGCTTACAGCCGATGAGTAAGTGCCAAGGTGACATGCGCGCTGCAGTTCTTGATGGCTTTATTTACGTGGCTGGAGGATCTAGTGAAGGACTGCTGACCTGCAGGTAAGTGGGCTCATTGTGATGTCATCAATACCAACTGGAGTTTTGTACAAGTTAGCAGCCACCAAGCGGTTAGCCAAGTGTTGCTTATGAGTGTTTTATCAGAAATGTTCCTCGTGACATTATGCAAAACTGTTTCATGTAATGATGATGACAGCTAATTTCTTTTTTCGAATAGGAAAGTTTTATAGTGATAAGTCTTCTTCCCTTTTTGTCTCAGTTACGTCGAGCGGTATTCACCTATCACAGAACGATGGCAAGTAGTGTCCAGCATGCATCGTCAGAGACGCCGATTCGCTCTAGCTGTACTCAACAGCCATATCTACGCCGTGGGGGGTTTTGATGACAGCAGAGGTGATCTAAAGCATGTGGAATATTACGATGCTAGCACTAACACATGGACTGAAGTCAAACCCATGCAATGCTGCCGATACGACTTCGGTGCAGTAGCACTGTCAGGCTACCTTTACGCAGTGGGCGGTGCAAATGGCAGACGAGGCTCGCTGAACACTGTTGAACGCTTTGATCCAAACACTAATGAGTGGTCAATGGTTGCTCCCTTGAAGCATTGCAGAGGTGGTGTGTCTGTGGCTGTACATTGCGGCAAGATTTTCGCCATGAATGGAATGAACGAATACATGTCAATAGTTGATTCCACAGAATGCTACAATGAAGTTCAAGACAAATGGAACAGTCCGACTGCTTGTACGCACACGGCACGCTTTAGTGCAGCTGCCATTGTTTACCCCCCTGTCATTCCGTTGCATGTTAAAAACCTGCATCAGAATGGATCTGTGTGTCACGAGCAACAATGACCTGATGGCTACTAAGAATCACGCATGGACTCATTGATTATTGATCTATAAGACAAGCCCTTAGTATGTTTCCGTGGGGTGGGTTGCTCCCATATGAAAAGGTTGGGAGAGTGTAGCGACTAGAACTTTCTTTGCTTTAGGGTGTCACGTTTTTCCGTGACCCCTGGGAATTATGCAACCCACTCTGTAATACTTAAGCGTTCTTCATTATGCGTAGTTTTGTGTTTTTCATTTTGGCCAGTGCTTGTTAGCGCTGAAAGTTCGATCTGCTGGTTTCTACCGCATTTTTTCGTTAGCTGCTTCACTGTTGTGTGAGCCCTGAAGTACAAATTCTAGAATTCGAGTCGCCACAGTTTTGTAAATTTATTTTGCTCCGTTGTCAGTTTTTTGTGTCGTTATATTTTGTACTTAAATATTTTGTCTTGTTTATTTTTCAGTTGAATCACACAGACATTACACACCCACGATCACTTTTGTTTCTCTCGTGTTTACGCCTAGTATCATTAAACTTGTGCATTCAAACTGTGACGTCTGTAGCGCTCACTAGACCTACAAGGTGGATGTCGTCTCGCTTAGAATCATGGATTCTGGTCTCACTCTGGGTGTTGATGATGAAACGCCACTAGTTTTAGCT